TACTTCTCTCGGCACACATGACATCTCACCTATAAGAGGAAAAAGTTCCAAACCAGTAGAGGACGTCTCGCGCAGTCATCATCCATAAAAAGGGTGACCGAAGGAATCCTTGCGACTATCGCCCAGTTTGCTTGTTGAGCATACTTTACAAGCTTTTTACGAAGATCATCCTTTTGCGCATATCAAGAACATTGGATGAGGCACAGTCAGTGAAGCAGGCAGGATTTCGACAGGGTTTCTGCTGCATGAACCATATTCAAACCTTACCAAGAGTCATGGAAGTCTGTCGGAATACCACCAGCCCTTGATTCTAACTTTCATCGACTATGAAAAAGCATTTGATCGCTCCTGATTCTCTTCTTTAAATCAAACACAGGGTGTTATATGAACCTTTATTTGACAGCTGACGTTTCGGCAGTTCGCCTTCTTCAGAGCTTGAAAAGGTCAAATTGTCTGCAATCCTATTAGTCAAACACCTTCATTACTCCTTCAGAAGAAAATCATCGTACCTAGATTTCGATCGCATTGAGCAAAAATCAACTCTCAACATACTCACCGCTTTTTATATGTGTTCCACTGAATGATTTAAGTGGAGACCACTGGAAGGAGAATACATAGGATCGTAATGCACCTTAACCACCAAGACAACAGTCTTAAATACTGACTCAAATCACAACTGATAACGAGGCATTACTCCCTGCGGTTTATGATTGGATTGGTCGAATTAATTCAAAACGCTTCCAAGATCTTTCGCGCTGATGTTTTTTGCTCCTGCGCAAGGATGGTGACTTCGATTTCAAAATCAACTCCCTAGTGTTTGTGTTCTCTATGCAACCCTAGCGGGGTGTTCTGTTTGTTGAGTTGCTTGTCAGCTAGGCGCCCTTCTATGCGGACTTAGAGGGGCCTACCCGTTTCGCCAATATATCTATCGTTACACGCTTTGCAAGAGATTAGGTAGACTGTACCTACACTCATGCAGTCTCCATCTCTGCCGTCAGGGCATATTTTACAATCTTTCATTATACATAGACGGTCATATAAGCGGTTGCGAACTAATTATCGTCTTAGAGTATTCGATATCAATAATATCCACCAATTGGCTGTACTAATCTCATTTAAAAAGAACGGAAAATTAACCTGATTTTGCTCTTATTAGAGTTTTCGTTCGGAGGCGCACTGTTTCCTCTAAACCTAAAGCGAGGGGTTACAAATTCGTATCCATTAGAAGTGAGCCAGTTTCATGGATTCCACTCTCTGCTCCTCCACGCTACATATATTGGCTGCTGTACGAAACATGTTTTCCACTAACGCCTTTTTCGTATGTGAGAGATGAGAAAAGAGATGGTGAATCCGAATATTCTTATTACTTGGCTTTCGGTGCCATTTTTTTATGTAGCCGCTCCGGTTAATTTTATTTGCACGTTCAAGAAAGGGAGCCAATCATCTTTTGGTATCTCACGAGTGAATTATATATACTCTGACTGTTCAAACAACAATCTAAAGCAATAATCTAGCTCCTCTTGAGTGGATCAGATAACCAAACAATCGTCTATATACTTACAGTAGAGTAACGGCCGGAGATCCATCATTGGTGCCTCCACTTTCGGCATAAAGGCAATCGCCAGGCTAGGTGCCAGTCGCTGCCCAATTGCCAACCCTCCCATTTGATATCAGTCGTTTCAGTGTTTTTCTAAGACCAGAGCTCAAATTTCGATATATCAAACAATCATTTTTGAGCCACGCATGTCTTGTGGTCAGTTAATGATATGATATATTGAATATACAGCCAAAAGCAATCAGGTGTACAACACTCTGTGTTTGGTGGTAATTTCACTAGGCATAGAGTGTAAAACGCTCGTCGTCGCTAACTCTTAGTGTGGGGAAGGAGCACACACAAAGATCAGCAAAAGACGAGAAAGGGCAACTGCCCGACTGATAAGACCGTAAGGTCGAAACACGTGCATCGGGCCCTATAAGCCAGCCCATCTTTAACGGACCACCTGACATGCGTAGTTCAAAAGTGATTCTTTGGTATATTGAAATTTGAGCTGTGGTCTTCAGAAAACACTCAAAATGATTAATATGATAAATTAAATATACGAGTTAAGAGCAAACGAGTGTATAATCAATTACACCGCCAGATGAGATGCGACGTCGTGCGGCGTGGTACGAACCGTAGCATGTCGGCGTGAAAGAGTTAAGCGATCGGAGCTAGGAAATAGTTATGAGTGCATTCAATGTGAATGGAATACAGTGTATCTTTTCCATTTATTTCATTTTTGATGCTATGTATTTGTTCACAGAGCTTTTAACCGCTTTTTTACACGCTGCCGAAACCTATCCAACAGAGATGTTTTATTGGTTTTCTCAGAGAATGTTCATACAGTACGATAGAAATCAACAGACGCTTCTGTTTAGTGGTTTTCATTTTGCGGTGACAGATTAATGATGTAGAAGAGCGCAAAAATACTTTCTAAATACTAAAATTCAGTGAGGAAGAATTTTTGTTCCAAGGTATAAGAGGAGCGCATCGGTTGTTTGAAGGGATAACTCTGGAGAACTGTGATTATCGTTCAATTGTAAAGTTACTTCGTAATATGCATGTTCACTACTTCGGCATCATAACTTTTAAAGCAAATTGTATTTATTTTTTTGTTCTTCAAAAAAAAACGTGTAATTAATTGAGTGCTCTTTCGCAATAGTGCAAGTTTTTGCAAAGTGAAACACTTCTAATCAAGCAGGAGCAGACGTTTTTGAATATGTCTTGTCAAGTCTTGTTGATTATTCGCACGGAACAAAGTGTTGTCGGTATGAAAATAGAATAGTCGAAATAAAGCATCTTCCCGGCAGTTATGACTGGATTTGAAAAGAAGAATTAGTGGAGGCGAAACGCCATACGAAAGTGTGGTGACGACAAAATGGAAGCACATATAAATACTGAAAAAGAGGGCTAACAACTTATCAACTTTTTAGAACCCTTTCAATATGGGTTTTTGATTTAAGTTTATAGTAAGTTCCCGAATCACTTGTAAACTATTATTTGATTGTTCTTTGATGAAACGTTCTTCAGTATTCTATTCAGTCGTATTTCATAATTCCTCGATCAGACGAAGTCACAGTGTAGAGTGATCTAAGAAAAACTACGAATGTTGGGAAGCTGATCACAGATACTATGCAAGCATGACAAACAGAACTCTATATTAAATCTCAATCAACTCATACATGATTGAAAACCGTACCCCATAAACCATAAAACAGCCACTCTCTTCCAAGGAAACGGTATATATATATATATAGTAGAGTTTATTTTGTGATTGGTGCGTATAGGCGGAGATTAGGGTGTCTTAAAGTGCACAAGTGGCGATTGACTCCATCTTGAGGTCTGAGCTCTCCAAGTTTTCTAAGTTTCCGGGCCTCTTAGTTGATATCAGACTTCTTTGAGAGGATAGAACAGTGGATTGTTACATTGGTGTGCCAGAGTTAGTCATTTTTGAGCTCAGATATCGATTCATTTATCATGAACGATGGCTGATGAAGTCAGAAGTCAGATACATGAAGCATTACTCAAGAATTGGTCAATGTTCAGTTTATTCTTTACTATATATGATGTCTATACTCTCAACCTTAAACAATATTTCGAGCATTTGCAAAAGATTTGAGCCTACCGTAATCAGAACTCTACCGGTGGAAAACACCTACTTTTATTGTCACTGTTCGGTACCTTGTGCAGTTTTTCACTCTATTGATCGCGTTTGTTCCAGATAATTTGTATGTCAATCACATTCAATGAATTCTTTGATCTCACTGTTTTGAGAGTCAAGCGCGTAGAATGGTCAATTTTTTCACTTTTCTTTTCCAATTTTTGAGAACTCAAACAATTGAGTCTTGCTCAACGTCACATAGTTTCTTTATTACAGATTCTTTTCACTTGTTCCTGCATAAATGTCGTCAATGTACATTCAAAGAAACGAATGCACTAGTTCAAACGGAAACCTACAACGTTCTTCCGTTTACGAAGAACGCTTGTTGACAGATGAGTTTGACACTCCAATTTCAGGATATTTTGAAAGCAGACTTTCCCCTGACTTTAGCGTAAATAATCAAAAATTTGGTGTATCAGTATGCTACATTACGTTCTTAGAAATTTTTACGTGGCTAAGCTTTCGGTTCCGTCGACACTTCATGCACTAAAATATATGAGAAGTCATAGAAAAAGGACAAATTAGACTTAATTGTAGATAAACAGGATTAAAATATCGTAGAAATGTTCAATAGAGTTCTAAAAAAGGTTTCCTCTTGAATACTTGGTTTTTCCTTCTGAAAGTGTGAAATAAGAATGTAACATCTACGTTATTTCTAGTAAAACAATACTTAGTGAAATCTGTTCTACGATACTTGACCATTTACTGACACCCAAAATCCCATTTATTGACGAAAAGAGTATAAATTTCATTAGCAGCCTAACAGATTAGCCTTGGAGTAGGTGCCTGCAGCGTCTCTCCGTAGCAGTGCGAGCCGCCCACCAGCCGAAAATGGCGCCGTCTTCCTTGAGCGCATATATAGTTTAGGAATTATCGAGATAGAAGCTATCGCATGACTGCAGAGAGTTCAGCAAATTGGCACTACAAATCCCAACCGAGGGAACAAATAAACCGAGTGTGTAATATTATTTTTATTCGTATCAAAAATCACTGAAAGAAGCTTTTTAGAATTAAAGCCTGTTATTGAAATTGCCAAAACTCGAGAAAAGCTCTCAGAAGTTTGTATATCTTTGAAGGTACACACCGTCCTGGACGGATCAATGTACTTCAAGGTTCACTTATGTATGTTTGACGCTTGCAATGTGGCACCAATATTCCCTATATAGCTTGTCAACAGAACACAAACATTAAACGCTGAAATATCCATACATGCTCATGATTTTTAGTATTTTTTACTGCATTTTTCGCAGTGTTATTATGCACAATTTACACCTGAGAGAATTGAGTGGTGAAAAACACGACCTCAGGCAGGAATCGAACCCGCGTTTCATTCTATCCGGGGGCGCGTGCTCTATCGCTGCACCATCGAGGCACATTTGCGCCACCAGTCGTTCAAACATCTCTATGTTAGCTATGTATATGAAACATAATGACACTGCAAAAAATGCAGCAAAAATGCTAGAAGTTTCGAGCATTAGTTATTAGAATGGCTGTCAGCTCGACCGGGTTTATAAGGCGAAATCGCATATCCGACCAAACCTGTTAAAGGTTGCTGGCTGATAGTTAACATAGAGATTTTGAAGAATGAGTGGTGACGCAAATGTGTCTCAGTGGTGCAGTGGTAGAACAAGCGTTCCTGGATAGGATGTAACGCGGGTTCGATTCCCCCTGAAGCCGTGTTTTTGCTCACCACTCAGTTTTCTAGGTGTATATCCATGCATGATTCTTCGTACTAAATTCTCTTTCATCTGAATACATCATACTCGAGAATTTCAATTTTTTTCATTTGCCTTTTCATTTTCATTTTCAGACACTATTCTGTAAAATCAGTCAAAATGTTGTAAAGAAAGAGTAAATTAACACTATTGACCCAGAAAAGAAAATTGCTGAAAGCGAAGATCATCGTAACAAAAAAAATGATCTAGTGAAAATCATTGATTCAACAAACACCGGGTACACTTAAGCTGTTATCAAGCGGCTGAAAATAATGGAGAAAAATCACTTTTGAAATCAAAATCCTGCTTTCTGAAGCCTTTCGCTTGTTCCTCCCGAAATTTTTGTAAATATGCGTTGTAAAATTGAATTCATTTGATTGATACATCCATTACAGTGTGTACGAATCCCAGTACTTCTTGCATTGAGTGCCTCCTTACGTTCGAGCTTCACAAACATCTCGAATATGCTACCGCTTCGTTATAGATTATAAACAAGAAACACGCCTTCAAAGCACATAGTGGCATTGAACTCAGTCGAATTGAGAGCTATGTGTAATTTAGAAAAGTAAACAAATACTCTAGGGATTTTCCATTTTCACTGCTTTTTACCTGTATTATGACTGTGAGTAATATGCAGAACTCTCTGTGGCTCAATGCCGATATGTGCTCACCAGACCAAGTTCTTTCGAAGGTTGTTGACAAGTGCGATAGTTCATATCGAAAAAGTAGCGCTAGCATGCGGTGGTCTCGATGGTTTAGTAGTAGTTTACGTCTCAATATGTGTGAGGCGCAGGTTTAACTCCCATCCTAAGCTCGAAAACTTTGCACATTATCAAAACTCTTTAATGTATATCAGCGACATACTAGCACTGCCAAAATGCCTAAAACAAAGAATCCTTATGCAAATGTTCTCAAAAAGCATTTTGTATAACAAATCCTCATGCAGCCTTCTAGATCACACGCGCAACGTCTGAAGACCATAGAGATGAAAAATGCGAGGAAATGAGTAGAATGCTAGGAACACTGAGATTCAGGCACTAAGGAATGATAAAGGTGCGTAAAATTGAAATGAACAAAATCAAGGTATTAAAATTGTAGTGGAAAAGCAACGTGAGAGAAATAAACTAAACCGCACGTCTAAACTAATTCGATAATTCCGCAAGACACACGGCCTCCCGCGTTACCGGTGGAGGCACTCAGTGGTGAGAGGCCACGGTTCAAATCATCTCCAGCGGCATGAATGACAAGGGCTCTTCCAACTATACTTTGCTCTCCATGGAGGCTTATCACACTATCCGTGATAGAAATCGGCGTTGCACCACCACCTTCCTGAAAAGCAGAGAAAAGACTGGCGAGTACATGAGCTGAGATAAGCTGTCCTGGACATCAATAACACAAAGTACTGAAGGATCAGCAAACTATGGAACTACCTCACCGTTAGCTTTCCACTAATCTAAATTGTTCTTGGATTTTGTGCGATTCAGCGCTACTTATACCTCAACAAAGTGACAAGGAGTTCGATCCAGTAAAGTGCAAACAATTCAACATATCTTTATTTACAGCGCTTTTCTCTATATCGAAAGTCGTATACGTAGATTGAAACCTTTATCTCATCATACACGCGTTAAGAATCGTACTAAGTCTTTCTTGAGTTTTAGACACATCATTGTAAGTAGTGCGAAATATGAGATGATAGCTTACTAAGAATAAATATAACGGTTTCCTAGTTTGATCGCAATAGCATACCTCATCCGGAACGAAATTTTGCCAGTACCGTTCACCGTAAAAATATTATTCATAATTAATGCGTTATCGCTGGTTGTCGTACTCAAATGGTGTCTACAGATAGATGGATGATATATTCCTTGAAAGGTCGCGACAATGTTTACTTCGTGACTAGTGATTCCTGTGAATATCGTTAGTTAATTTCCGAATCTCCATCACTGATTACGTGTGGAGTGATTCAAGTTTTTCTCATTAACATACGTTTGGATGCTGTCAAATGCTTTTGCGGACCGGATAAAGCATATGAGAGGGAAATTTTTCTATGATCTATCTTGCTCCACCTGTCAGCCATGCCGAAAATAGTTGATATGCTCGCATTAAAGTGTAACTTCTATGAAGTCGCGTGGTGTAATCAACAAACTGGCGAATGTTCGTTAGGATTGATTATTCGTTTCGATCGAATGATTAAGGTCGACATCCTCCACTGGTGTGAAGTCTCTTCCCTTTGAAATAATATGCAGTCCGTCACTTTTTCAATTGAAGTATACTGCGCTCAATAGCTCCTCTCTGCCGAAATCTGCTGTAGACAAGCTTCAAATAAGATACCATGCAGCTTGACATAAGTATGAACTACATAAACGAGATTAAAGCAAGGAGATTAATTCTAATTGCAAATGAATTCCAAAGATACGTTACTTATAGTCCCCTGACCCATGACATACCACAGCGTGAACTAAGATGTTGAACGACAATGCTCACCGGTGTGAAGATATTTCCAAGATCGCCAACGTGACGAATTCGATCAGACGGTGCACCGTGAACCGTGTTGAACGGATTATAATGAGGACCAGCTGCATTACAACCTTGATCTAGACTGCCAGTCTGGTGAACATGAAAGCCATGCAAACCGTGAAATGGGGGTTAGATGGCCATTAAGGCGCGCCTTTCATTGGAAAAATTCGCTTCATACAGTCCCGGGGG